AATCACGTGAAGTCCTATTTTCGAAAATTTTTATTGCATTTTTGAACAAATTACAAAATTGCTATTTTTGAAATTTGACCAGGTGGCGCAGAAATAGGAGGTCTTTAGACCGAGCCAACCATACCAAATCTTTCAGGGTCATCCTGTATACAGAAAGGTTCTTTTTATGAAATATACAGAACCTACATGATAAATAAGAATTTATTTTTAGAATTGGTGAACTCACAAGTTTAATTGTCACATATAAATAACCATCACGAGGACGTTGCGAAAATTTGAGCTGCAATTTAGTTTCCTTTTTTATAGAATAAATTTCCATTTTTGGTAGGGTTCTGTATATTTCAAAAAAAGAACCTTTCTGTATATAGGATATTCCATCTTTTTATAGGGCAAAAGAATAAGCAAATGTAATTGAGCTAAGTATATACAAAAAAAATGGGTTGTTTAATTATATGATAAGACATGATCACATTGATAAAATTTTTAACCAAATATGACACTTTGACATTAATGTGTTGTGTTGTCATCCTTTATATGCCCGTGCCAATTTTTCAATGGTTGTTCAATGATCAACTCATTCCATTCTTCTTCCATAGCAGAATCAATCAAAATTTCATTAACAACTCGAACAGCTGAATTCAAAGCTCCAACAATCCAAGCATGATGTATATCAGTGTATTCACCAGCCCAATGTATATTATACATTGGTTTTATCATTGGATAAATTAGGTCGCTATATTGTTCTGGACCAAAAAGAGCAAACGCTCCAACAGTGGTTTGGTCATTTGGCCAGTAGATAGATGAATTATATTTTGGGTCACTATCCCATTCTTTCTCCACCTGATCTCCATGGAGAATTGTAAGGTCTTTAATACAAAGTCTGGCATTCTCCTGTTGCGAGTATGGAGCAAATTTTGCTGCATCATTTGCCCAAGTATAAGAGCCGAGAAGGATGGCAGGTTTATCTGTTGGCATGCCAACATAATATGATGGATAGATGACTGTCCGAATTGGGAGATCAGTTGTAGAGCTACCTCCGACGATGGGTGAATCTGTTTGGTTTTCCCAAAAGCGAGAATTGAATTTCAAAAAGATTTTAGCAGAGTTATCATAATTCAATTCTCGAATTGCACGTCTTTTGTAATAAAAATCATCGCTTGTTTTTGGGTCTTCTAAACTTTTTAATTCTACAAAACGTAAATGTCAGTAACGCTATAAATTAATTACCCAAAGAAAATATTAATTTTTTGCATAACCAACCAGGTAATTCCCAATGACGAACGACGCCCAATGGGCAAGTAATTATAACTCTATCAAAATCATCCACACTATCAGACCCGTTTTCTTCCCAATGTACACGCAATTTCAATATTCCATCTACATCTATGTTTTCTAATTTATAAACTTTACATTTATACTTAACATCTACTCTTCCACTCTTTTCCTTTGCATAAGCAAACGGGAATGCATTAGGAAATCGTTGCATTCCGTTATCAATCGTTTTCCACTTTTGGGAATCCGTCGAAAATGTATAAGCATCCATCACAGCTTCAACAAACGAAAGTCTAAATAATCCTGTTGCAGATTCTGTCATTTCCATCGCACCGATGGTTTCATCAACATTATACCCTTGATTCAATTTTGGATCGAGACTAGGAAAGTAGACTTCTTTGAGATACGAGTACACACTATGTTGGTCAAATTTCAAGAGAGAATTGAGCCCTAAGTCAAAATTTGAATCCAGGGCAGTGATAAATTTATCCATTGCTTTGGCGAGTAATGTTTTGTAATCAGGATTAACAGTTGATGCGAATCCAAGCTTGTTGAAATTTTGAGAATCATTTGCCCATGCTATATTCCCAATTTGACCATCGTTGCGGGAATCATTATAAAAATATAAACCGCTATTTGATTATTGATTGTGTCAGAAATAGATTTAATGCTAACGTCTCAATCAATCACTATTTAACACATGATAAAAAATCGAATAATTTCATACTTGTTATTTGAAAAGATAAAATTGATAAGATGGATCCGGTCGTCTTCAGGAATGCGCTCATTCAAATAATCAATAGTATCGAACACCATTTGATGTTCTGGAGTTACCGGTAGTCTCATAGCTCCAAGCTCACCATATAATTTTTCTTCCTTTTTTTCACTAAAATACTGTGTATGTACACGTCCGCCTACGCGATCTTGACACTCAAGAATCGTGATATCTTGAATACCAGCTTTCTGTAAGAGTAACGCAGAAAATAGTCCTGTCCGTTCATTATGACAGAGTTGAGAAACAATGATTTAAATAATGTCATCACAAGATTTATTATTATTTTGAATATTTATATGACATACCTGACATCCCTGCTCCGATGATGCAAATCTCTAATTATGAAAAAAAATATAAATTAAAAAGTTGGTCAAGTCACATTAAACACGCCTGATATTTACTTGGTTGTCTAGAAGGTTGTCTAGGATTTTGTGGCAGCGAAGGTGGGGGATCATAAGGTGTGGCACTAAAACCTGGGATTCTATTATTATATCAAAATGTAATTGCGTGCATAAGAAAAAAGAAAAAATATGTACAATAAATTTTATTTAAAAACATCAAAACTTGATAATATAGAGCACACACTTTTTCTGAAAATACCGAAGTCTAACATGCGGTGATGGTGAGGCATTTCCACCTCGATGACGACGGTAATCACTAATTAGCGTGGAATGTGAAGCAAGAGCCCAAGACATTTGTATTTAATCTCAAAAAAAAGCAAAGGATTTTAAATTGAGGATATGAAGGTGAAAAATAAATTTCATAAAAAATCTTTAGTGCTAAGCCACTCATTACCTAATTTGTAAATTAACGCGAAAAACCATTATCAAAATTAGAAAAATTGTGCATGTAAATATAAGCCGGCTAACATCATTTTAGTTTAGCAATTTTCTACGGATCTTTTCTATGCAGTTATCACAAATCAATATTGCAGATCAGTCTATTCATTCTTTCCAAAAAAAAATTATTATATATGGTGCGAGTTCTAAACTAAGATCAATCATTCCAATACATAATGGATCGTCATTTGATAATTCATCTCACTTTTGTGAAAATATGCACATGTGCGGTGTCTCTTCATTCTAATAGATTGAAAAAAGTCGTAAAAAAAGAAAATCCAAATTAGATAAACGAAATAACTTGATTTTTTCTTCAAAAGCAATATATTATTTAAGGCTAAATCTTTCCAATTCACTTCTTCATCGAATTTCCCATGTAAGAGCCCCATATTTTTTAATGATGTTAGTTCGTTCCTAATAAATAACATCTATAAATATAAATATGGGTTAATAAGGCATCATTATTTTTTTGCACAAATATCCATCCTAATCAGAAATAGTCGGCATCATTATCTTAAAAATCATCATAATAAGTATAATAAAAGAGATTCTCGCTGACAATATGTTACCTTTTCAATCTTATTATACTTATTAATGTCTAGATATTTATTCATCACTTTATTATCCAATATACGAATATCAAAGCGGTAAAAAATACCTGATTAATATTTTGCAATGATTCAAGATGTCATCTACGTTCTTTATCGTTAATTTCATTATTCGAGATCTTCTTCTGTTTGAATTTTGACACATTCCCGTTGTTGAGTAATTATATTGGAAATGGTAATTTTATCTAAAGATATGGTTTTTAAAAAGATATATAAAGGGGTGAAAATTTCAATTGATGGAGCAGATGAGCTAGACATGATTTTATTGTTAGTTTAGTGTAAAAAAAATAGTTTTAGTTCGATGATATTAATATACTAATAAAAACAGGATTACTATAAAGCGATAAACAACAATAACTTGGCCATATTGCCCTTTTTAATCGTTGTTCACATTTTCTCCTTCTTGTTTCATTTAGGTATTTCGAAAGTCTGGAACAACTTTTATGTATCGTAAATCAAGTGGTAATGTTGTATGTGAAATTGAAATTACGTGAAATCGAAATTTATAATAATAATTAAAATTTTGGGGACGAAATTCTGACAGATTTCATTTTCACGCACAACTGGAGGTGTCACATTATAATTTTTTTTTTGAGTGCGAAGCAACTATGTGTATTTTGGAATGCTACTAGTCACAAAAAAGTAAGGTTTTAGTTCCATATTTAGGTAAATTATAATATGGTATTTATAGTTTATCGATATAGAGAGATTTTTGAGGTGAAGAAATGCCAATGGTGAAAAAACATTCTTCAAAAATCATCATATTCTGAAAACCACTCACTTTCGTAATGTAACTAGTCCGTGAAAAAAAAAAGATTTTATTGCTATTTTTGAATATAGTGTAGCATGATACCTCTAGTTCATCGATATAGATTGCATTTTCTAATTGATTGGTTTATTCTTGCAGAAAAGCTTCTACAAGAAGGACATCTGCCAAATAAGTAGAAAGAATGGGGTGTGAAAAAATTAACAGACAGTCTTCCATGAGAGCTTCACCGGTATTGTAAAGTATGGAGAATTATTGGTAATGAGGATAAAGATGCTGTTTCAAGAATGTACATGTATAAATAAATGACTACTATGTAGTTAGAATGCAAAAACTACCAGATTCCCAGAGACTTAAAGAAGCAGTGAAAGATAGTTCTATTTTTGCTGCCAGTGTTTACGGGTTCAAGACTATCTGAAATCTGGAAAATTTCAGGCATGATTATGTATGATAACATGAAGTATATCTTATCTGTCCAGCAGTTGGGTATGCCGTTATTGAAGCATTTGATGATGAAAATTTGAAGAATATAATTAAAATTCTAAAGGAGAATTTTAGAGCTCACAGATTTCAAAATGCAGCATTAGCAGGATACCCAGTCATCCTTAGTTTTCAGAACCTGGCACCGGAGGTGAATCCACAAAAAATGACAATATCAGTAAATAAGGTTATTTGATCAGATGAGATGCCATTATCACAACTTTCCTTGGAAAGAGGAACCATGTGTGTATGTGAACGTGGCCATGCAATCATTGATTTTTTTATCTATGATTTTTACAAAGCTGCTGTAGAATCTAATCATGAACCCAAGTGGAGCAAATGATCTTGGAGTAGATGAATATTATGTTTATATTACATGTGGTTCAAAGATCAAGACTAATAGTTCTGGATATAATGATAGGTTGGTCAACATACATGTGATTTTTCCTAGAAATTTGTTATAATGTATGTACATGTTGTATGTGAAATTGAAATTCTACATCGTCCACATAATAATATACATATAATAAAATATCTTCAACAATAAAACCACTTTTCTAGATGGTACTGGGAGCAAAGGATTGATTAGTCTTCATACTAATTCTATGTAAATATTTTCTTTCTTTTTCTTTATATATCAAGGTAGCTTGGAAAGTAAACTCTCAAATATAGTGAAGTATATATATGTAGTAATAATAATAGTGAGGGATAGACAGTAAATTGTAAAGTTATATTAAAAATATATTAAATCATCATAATACAGGTAATACATATTTGACTCTGATACATCATCAACATATTACAGTTTGCATGTTATAAATATATAAATACAATATATGTATCTTAAATTAAATTGATTTTACTACCCTGTAAACTTCATACTCTTCTATCAAATGGGATTGTCTATCTTTATTTCTAAGATTTAGTTTATTTTCATAACTATAAGGATGAAAATAATAAAAACAATAAGGTTCATTATTAATACTATTATTTAGTTGTAAATCCCAAAAATTTATAGTCTTTTCATGAAATTTTATATTATCTGCAGTTTGACTAATCTTTCGACCATTATGATATATTGCATTATTAGGAATTCTGACCCTGCTTAATATCGAATTATTTATCTGATTTTTATCAATTTTAAAAATAAAACTTTCATTTGTTTCAATCCAATATTTATCATCAGGTGACTTTTCCTTTATATTCCAGCCAACTGGATTATAACCACCAACTAATTCTCCTGTATCTTCAAGTTTCACAACAGCTACAGTTTGTTCAATATTAAAACATTTATTCTCAAATACAGATCTAGAAAATCCATCTAGAGTACCCTGAAGAATTAATTCAAATTCATAAGGTATATTGTTTTCTTTATATAAGTCATTTTTGTAGTTAATCCAACTTGAAATTAGAGATTTCATTTGCAGATTTAATAATTTTCCTATTCTTATTTCTTTACCTGTTTGTACCATTGTTTTTGATCTTGGGCCTTTTTGAGGTAACAGTTTTGGTTGCCATTTATCACTAAGATAGAATAGAAAAATTTCTTTGTATACTTCTTTATCAAGGACTTTTTTAAATGGGATAATTCTATCAGAAAAATCATTTGAAGAAATTTGATTGAATCTTATTGAAGGAATAATATCCTTTATATTATTTTTCAATATGATGAAATCCTCTTTCTTCCATTCTGAAATATCTTTTTCCAATTCTTTACTTTGTCCTATCCCCCACTGAATAGTGTAATCCCAAATATCTATTTCCTTTAATTCTAAGTCATTTCTATCCAACAGAGTTATAAGCATAGACTTTTCAATGGTTGCAATGTCATTAGATTTAAAAAATAGTTCTGGATCTTTGTTAATTATTTCACTACAATAATTCTGAAGTGAAATGAATGATTGATGACATGATGAAACTTTATGAGCATAAATTAAATTCTGTTGAATCCATTCTTTTTTTACATTAATCAAATAATCTTGCAAGTCATTAATTAATTCATCAAAGTTTAATTCATCACATGCCTCAAGGAGTTTAAAAATTTCAATTTCATCCAGATTATCTATATTAAGAGTGCCATTGTAAATATACCTATAAAATAAAGTAAAATAATTTAAATTATTGCAATCATTCAATTTTATTAATTTATTCAATTAATAAAATAATCTTACGTTAAAAGAACCTCAAATACATTTGAAGGAATATTTTCTTTTTTAAATAAAATAATGCTACCATCATCAGATTTTTTTATCCAATTGTTTGATAAAGCAGTTTTAAAATATGGAGACCTTACTTTCAAAATGCTGGAATGAGCTTTGAAAATTTTAATATCGTCATCTACTCCAACTCGAATTTCTACATCATAAAAATCTGGTTCGTTCAATAACTTTGTTAAATCATTTATGAGTTTATTAATGTATTTTAATGACAAGGTATCATTTTTTGTATTAATAAGTTTGTTAAGTAATAAATTTAAATTTTCTAACGATGAAAAATAAGTTGACATTTTGAGTTTTATAGTAAAAAAAATTTTTTTCGCCCAGTATTAATAATATTTTTTCCGACGATCGTCAATTTTGTTTATGACATACGCGTGCAATGCGCATGATTTTTTTTCAAGCCATGCAATGTCCCATACATAATTCTATTCAAAAAAAATTGAATTTTTAATTTCCATCGATTATATTATTGGTAGTATTTTGAGAAATATGACAAAACCAAAAATTTGGCTCATTTTGTTAAACCGTGTATAATTGATAATTTCAGCTCCTATTTCATCAGCTTGCTTCTGAAATGAATTGGTCCGCTTTTTCTTTTATACATGATAAAAAGAGAAACAAATTGACTCCTGGATGAATGTGTGTTTTAAATTTAACAAATTAAAATATCTAAAAATACTAACAATGATAACATTAAAATCATTGACGATGATAAAGTAATTGGTGAAGAAGAAATCAGTGGTAGTAATAATAATATTGAAAATGATATTTAGATGCTTATTTTTGTATTTTTTTTTTTTAATATATTCTAAATCTTTTTTTTTAAAAAAAAAATGCATAAAATGCGCATAAGATTTCCCATCTCTAGTAATAATACTATATAGCACCTCAAATAAATCATATAGAATTTGTATACCATTTGTTTGAAACAAGAATTTACTTGGTAATACCAGCAAGCTCAGTACAATCTGAGAGATTGTTTTCATTAGCCGTGAATTTATTTACAAAAAAAAAAAAGGAAATAAAAATAATGTTCTTTTTTTTTAAAGAAATTCAAAAACTTTTAGAGTATTATTTTTTAGTAAATATATTTGTCTAATAAATTATTTGATAAAGAATTTATCCAAGTTCTTAACCGTATAAGGTTCAACAATTTTTACTTTCGTCAAATCGTTAAAATGGCCCTTGGTGAGAAACTACATTTAGTCAGTACTTTTATCATGTGAATGACTAAAATCAAAAGTTTTTTAATATAGATGATAATATTATTTTTTTAGTTGAATTAATATTTCTCCATATTTTGTCAAAAATAGGCAAAGTGATGGAGTCAGTCCAAAGGACGCCAAGACTTTTTTTTTTTTGTGGGCTATTGCTGCTTCATATTCTGGTGATTTTTGGTAACGCAAAATACCAGGTACCAAAAGTACCAAAAAAATGGCACTAACCAAAGTACTATATATCTTTCTTGAGTTTCTAAGAACCAATTTAACAAAATATTTATCACGTACCATTTTCGATTTTATCATATGAGATATTTTCGAAAAGGTGGTGTATGTACAAAAATTTCCAGGGGCAAGTAAAACCTTCCTGATTAACAAAGCGAAGAAGGAACAAGAACAGATATTCTGTATTGGCAAATGTAAGTTCTAACCCCCGGAGGAAAGTAGCAAAAAATTTGGACATACTGAATAGATTGAACATGTCTTTATATTAATATGGTTTTGGATCATCTTCAACTGCTGTGATTAATTGATTGAATTAAATAAAAATTAATATGCGCACTATTTGTGAATATTTCTAATTATAGAAGAGGAAAGGAATCGGGTGATAAATTTTTTGATCATTAATTAATAAAAAAATTGTATATCAAAATAATGTTGTGAATATTGGAACAATCTTACCAATTTTGATAAAATAATAATTAGAATGATTGAAATTGCATACACAATATCCTTTTCAAGTGTACCACGTGAAAGAAGATTCTCAAAGCAGAATCTAATAAAAACAAAATTAGAAAGAATTTATCAATTGATAATTGTTACGAGCCCCACGAGAAGATATGTCAATATTATAGCACATCGTAATTAGGACTCAATAAATAATTATTGTTTTATAATATTAATATAGTAATAATAATAATAATCCGGTTTGAATCCGGTAGGAGATATTTATGCATGAAACCAACTAAGAAAATAAGTACTAAAGATACTCCATACTATATAGTCTACTAATATATGAAATAGAAATATGTTGTAATTGAAGAGGTCCTCATAAGCCGTTGTGCGCCAACATGGGTCCAAATATGAATAAAATAAAGAAAACAAGAGCGATATATGTAACATCCTCCCGACATTGATCAGGATTCTGAATCCATCCCACGTACATTCCAATTAAAAGTGCGGCCAGCTGGGATTTTTTTCCGGAGATGTAAGTCTTCCTCGTGAGTTTTGTTTAATTCCATAAACAACATTTTTTTCAAACTCGAGAAATCATGTTGTACACCGACATTGCTTTTATGATACTTGAGAATTGTCTTATAGAGGTATGGACGAGAAGAGAAAGTCAAAACTAGATCCGGTTTAGTCTCATTGAGCAAGATAGAATTCACGAGGTGTACGGTGGCCGAAGGGATTTTGGCAAAGCGAAAGGTAAACATATCATCCTCCTGTCTTTTGAGACCTACGCTATTTAGAAGCGAGTCAAATGCCGTCTCCGGATTTCTATCAGTGCTGCGGCCATATTCATGACTTGGTACATATTTTGGAGTCGCTACATAATTCGGAATTGCTGCTGGATGAGGAGCATTTTCGAATATCGAACGTTTAAATCCCATAGTCTTAAAAGTCTCAGTCCAAACGTCGGATCCAATTTCTTTTCTTTCATTTCGGAGCGAAGTATGACAGAGGACCAACGCTAGCTTTGGAGAGATGACATAAAAATAATGATAGGCAAATTGGAATGGTAAACCACCAAGCATTGTCCCAGTCACTCCCTCAAAGATTCCAAACCCGTTGCTGGTTATAATAAACTCGTCATTTTCACCAGCTTGCCAAATTACGAGAAAACCATCGATCATGCGCTGCCTGTAATCGTCTCTATCTATCGAAAAGATTCGCGGGTTGTTTTTGATGTCTTCATGTGGGGTATCTAGTATTTCACGGATGTTCTGTAACCACACTTCCCGAGAGTGTTGTAATTTGTGCTGCCGCATGAAGTCTTCTACCAACGGCAAAGTGGCGAAGTCAAATTTCTTCATGGTAAACTGAGACCATCGATGAGGCTTTCGATAGTTCATAATGAAAAGGAACTTGCGTAGATTACTGAGATCTCTTCTGAGTAAAACAATCTGATTTTCTACTTGGGATGCCTTCAGAATATCTCGGATCATTTTTGATGCATATCCTTCAAGTTTTGCTAGTTTTTCTTCCACGTGCATCGCATCTTCATGGTTAAAATCTTTGTACATGTTTTCGTATCCATATGTTTTTGCAATTAAAGAGACGCCCAGTTGATTTTTTGCTCTGTTGTAAGTTTGGAGAAGCTCCACTCTCTTTTTCTTCTGCAAAAAGTGCTGCTTTCTGAGTAAATTATTACTGCTCGCAAATACCCTCTCACAATTGTCAATAGCAAAATTACGCAAAAGAAACCTTGGAATGTAGTGATGGTATTGGTCTTTATCTTCCATTAGTATAAAATTGGTATCTAAAATATCACACTACTGGCAAAACTTTGTGAAAAAAATATGGTTGCGCAAATTGGGACCATTGAGATTTTCTTTTCTTAATTAGGTGTAGCTTAAATCATTATTAGGTTGCACGGATTACGCGTACATGTTACACGTATTATGTAGGCATGTGATCAGAGATTGAAAATATATGATTGGGCTAGGACCTCGGACAATTATAATTGAACTTGTATTGAGAAAAGTGGGTAGTGATCTTGTTAAAACACCAGTCAGATCTTCAAGCATTTACATGATAAAAATTGGGTTTTTAAAAAAAGTGGCCCAAAAGGAAACTCACTAGCCATTTTTAGTAAGGTATTCTGAGTATTTTTCACAACTTTTTATATGTTTTCTTCAATATGATTGTCCAAGGTCCTATTGGGCTCAGTCTAAAGACTCCTATTGCTGCGCCATGCGCTCAAAATTCAAAAATTGCGATTTCGTGATTTGTTCAAAAATGCAATAAATTTTTTTTAAAAAAAGGGCTTCACGTGATTTTGGTTAAAAATTTCCTAGGGGTAGGGGGGTTCAATACGAATGTTACACACTATGATTTCGCAAAACCAAAACTGTCCACTATATTAATTTT